GATGCCGAGGATCACAAACAAGATGTGAATAACCATGCAAATGTGCTTGGTAACCTCATTGTCTTTATCATTAACTATTGATGTGCTGGTAAACCACACACGCTCCATCAAAATGACAATTATGAGATACCCATTACTACTATTATTGGTGCCTTTTAGTGTGCTGGTTAACCACACACGCTCCACTAACGACAATATAAAGCACAATGTGCAATTCATGGATTAGCATACTTTTCACATTTTTCCTAAAGTAACTAGAGTTGGGATTTTGGAAACAATGTTCTAGTACTTTCTTTAATATCATTATACTTTTAATGAGAAGTAGTTGTCCTATCAAATCCGTTCTGCTAACGACCCTCCACTAATCAAGGAAGCGGTGGGTGAGAGTGGACACCCATTCAACTACCATTTTATAGGCAGTTTCCTTATACCCCCCTTATAATTAGCTTCGTGAATGAGGCATACTAGCGATTTGACTGACCATATTCTTATACATATAAATATTAAACTTTTAATTATAATATATATATAGGTGTGTTTTAAAACATTTTAAAACTTCAAGGGTTTATAAATTTCGAAATTTAAGCTATTAAATTTAAATTTAAATAAACCAATTAACTAGATTTAATATTTATTTTTAATTAACTATTAATCAAATTATTAAATCTTGTAAGGTTATCTAATTAAATTAATCCATTTTTAATATCCTAATCCTTACCCTCTAAATTTCGAAAAATAGGGTAAGGATAATTATCCAATTAATCTAATTAAGTAACAATTATCCAAAACAAGAAACCTAGTTATCTCTAGCATATTTCGAAATTTACAAGGGAGGAGGCTAGGGTTTTCAAAACCCTAACCCTAATTTCGATTAGGGTTCTTTGGAGGCTAGGGTTTTCGAAAAAACCCTTTGATCCAAAACCCTAGAAATCGAAAATTTGGCCTTTAGGGTTTAATAGCTATAAACCCTAATTTGCAATTCAACAATTGTAGCAATTCAATTAGAAAAACAATGGCTCTGATACCACTGATGGGTTTTAGGTACAACAACAATAAACTAGAAACAATTCCTAAGTTCACATGCAACCTACTTTGGATCTATGTTTTAACTATTGAACATACAACTTTGAATTGCCAAAACAAGAACCTAGAGGAGAGGCTAATTTCGAAATTAACAAACTAGGGTTTAGGGTTTACATACCTTTCAATTGTTATAGCAAACAATTGATATTCCCTTGATCTTGATCTTGATCTTCTTGGAAGCTTTAGCACCACAAGTGTAATGCCTCTAATGGAATCACACCCAAACTAGCAAGAAGGAAAGTAGAAGAGAGAGGGGAGAGGGAGTATGCAAAATCTCGGCCTTAGGGCTTCTTCAAAGAAGAGTGACAAAAAACATGAACCAGGAGGCTCCTTATATAGCTGAGGGATCTAGGGTTTAAGGGAAACCCTAGTTATCCTTGCTTAGGGCCTAAGCAAACCCAAGGGCCTTATCCAAGCCCCTATGGACAAAATTATTAGGTTTTCCCTAAAGATTTCGTCCACCCTCTCCAAGGGGGTTCTAGAGCCTTCCACTCAACTATTAGATAATTGCAAACTAGTCCCGGCACCTTATAATTAATTCTTTTAACCCCAAAATCAATTCTGATTAATTTCTGGCTAACAATTAATTAAACATAATGATTTCTAATTAATATATTAATCCAATAACATATTAATAAATCATTTATATATATATATTAATTTATTAATCTTATAAATTAATATCTCTCCTTTCATAATTTCCTTGTCCAGTTGCTAGGTTGAGGGCAACCCAAAAGGACTGTGCTGCTATCAATTCAAGTACATACCAATTATAGTTATGGGCTTAGACACCTAATCCAACATAGTATCCTCTCTGTCTAGTATGTAGTATGTTCTCTCGTATGTAGTATGTTCTCTAGTATGTGTTGATTCTCGTTATAGTATTCTCTATCTATTTCTCGTTATAGTAAGTGTTGTTTCTCGTTATTAGTATGTACTGACTCATGTATGAACTGACTCTTAGTATGTTTTTCATGTTCTAGTAATAGTATTAGTAACTTCCTAAACTATACCTATTATAGTTATTAGCAATGTTGTTGTTATGAATGAACATGATTGAACACCTTTGCTACTCAAAGGATCTGAACTGAATAAAGACTTTTATATCTATATGCATATACATAATATGTAACTAAGATTCAAACGACCTTCGGACAAACCAACCGATTGCCCTAAGTCTACAACCAAACAAGGAACAGGAAAGGAAGGCGAGTTGTCAGTCCTAAGTCCTTTCAATCCTACTTATATAACTATATCTATATAGATATGTTTAGACAAAGTATAATGTTTTAAAAGAATTTGATAAAGAGTTTAGCATATAAATAAGTTTTTTAAAGAGTTTGCATATAAAAGAGTTGTAAAAACGATTGAAGTAGTTTGTTTGAAAAACACAGTTTGAAGTATAAGAAACCATTGTTTGATAGTATTAACCACCTACGAATTTATAATAACTATAATGTTTCTACTTGTATCCCCCCCCCCCATAAAGCATTTAAATCATTAAAGATAAGTTAAAGGGGTATGAACTCACCTGCAGTGAGTGGTACGAATGAAAGTTCGGTTTGTAGGATGCTAAGTGCCAAATGAAGACTTGAGCACAACGGATCCTAATAAGCATATATTGGTACATATATGTATATAATTAGTGTTTATACAACTAATAATGAAAGGAAAACACCCTAGGGCCTAGAAAACACTTAGATTTAAGTGTTAGAAGCATCAAAAGTCATATGAAATGGGTGTACGGCCGTACAGGGGCATGTACGGCCACCTGGTGTGCTGCCCATTGGGTGTGCGGCCGCACACTCCTAGTAAAAATGGTCCAAAACGTATTTCCAAGGTCATATCTTGTATCCCCTAAGTGTCTTTGCTCATGTGCTAGCATACAAGTTGAGTTTGAGGCCTTAAAGCACTAAGATAAGTGGTGTACGGCCACATGAGTGTGTGCGGCCGCACACTCCTTGAAGATCGAGTTCTGGGCAATTTGTAAGGCTCAAATATAGCTAATGACATGCAGGAGTAGGGTACTTACGATGTAGAAGCGTTTAGGGGTGTTTGGAGCCCAAGAACTTAGTAGGTGTTCTTGGTGTTCTTGGTGTTGTGAAACTGAAGAACACTTGAAGATCTACTAAAATGAAGTGATTTCAGATGAAATCAGTGATTTACACTAGATGAAGTAAGGAATAAACAAATCAAAGGACAGAAACACTTACCACTTGAAGATCTAGCTGAAAATCGGGAGCTACTTGAGAGGAAACACGAGTTCTTGACTAGGGGGTGAAAAGGATTGAATGAAGGCCAAGACTCTTTCTTAGTAGTGAGTGTGCTGCCGGAGGAGGGGTGTGCGGCCGCACACCCAAGTGTACGGTCGTACACTCCTTAAGTTGGGTGTTTGCCAATTTTTGGTCGGGTGAACTTGTGGGACTCAAATCCAAACTTCTAACTTGAAGCTACTAGGTTTAGAACACTCAAATGACTCAAAACAAAGCTAGAAAGTGACAGAAAACGTGTCTGACTTTGACTGATTTGGATAATAATACAAGATAGAAATTTCAGGTTGTCACATTTATATATATATATTAATATCTATATATAATATATATTATATATATATATATATATATTAAGAGTGTATTTTAAAACATTTCAAAATACAAGGTTTAATCTTTTATAAATTAAGCATTTTTAATTTAATTGAATTTAAACCAATTTATGGATTTGTTATGACTCGAAGATCTATAGATGTTGCTTTTAAAAGAATTCGTTTTGCCATCCAAAAAGGGATTGTGACACAGCTTGTTGCTCGTTTACCCGCTACGTCTATGTAAAACTTTCTTATTTATTTAACTTGTAATGATATTTTTTACACAAAATCATGAAAATACCGTTTTTTTATAATGGATATCGATTAATCATTTAATTAAATTAATAATAAAATCCATAAAGATAATCTTAATTAATATTATAATCAATCATAATCTTGTCTAAGATTATCTCCTAACATTTAGGATTTTATTTAATTATCTTTTAATTAACAATCAATTAAATTAATTGAATCATAAAGATAATTCACAAATACAAGATATAGGATATCAAATTACCGACTTGAATATTCAGTTTTTAAACATTTAAAAATAATATTAACTAGAGTAATTATCCTAATCAATTTATGAATTAAACAAACAAATTGCTGATAAGAGGTTCACCACGTCATGGCAGAACGAAGAAACATGCGGATCTGAAATCACCACGTCATGGCAGAAAGGACCTCGACGTGGCGCTGGGACAGAATGTCGATTCTGTCTTTCGTCTAAGTGGGGTTTTGTTTAAGTTCAAGCAATCTACATTCAATTGTTAGACAACCATTCGCTCTGATACCACTGATGGGTTTTACTTGTAATAACGCGGATAAATCCTTAACATTTACGGGTACATGCAACCTAAGGATCTAAGTTATAACAGTATTGAAGCAACATTCTATTGAACAACAAGAACCCTATGAAACCTATGCTAATTTCGAAAATCATAAACAAGTTAGGGTTTACATACCTTTTAGCTATAGTAGTAAATAACTAATCAAAAACTTCTTGAAAAGTCATCCTATTCAATTATTAGGTTTGAGGATAACCCAAAAGGACTTTGTTATTAATTCAAGTATATACCAATTTAGTTATTAGCTGATACATCTATTCTAACAATTTTTTCATCTATACATTGCTCTAAACGCAATGTATGCAAATTTAAAAGGACAAGGATTGCAGATCCCTCTCTGGTAAACATAAAAATCATCACAACTATGCTCTGGTATGTCATAAAAGTAATATATGAAACCAAATATTTCACTACTTCGATCTTATATGTTTTTTAGTATCAATATTAATTTAAATTATATAAATTCTTAAAACAAAATTATATAAACCCTATTATTAAAGAACCATATTATTGTCTCTCTCGTAATTCAAAATGACTACAATATTATAACTCATGCAGTAAAATTTATACATTCTTCTGAACTTGAAATTTGAACCCCCAAAAATAAATGAGGTCCTTATGCGACTTTCAAAAGTTAACTTGTTTGGATACTACGAAAGAATCAATATATCTTTTTTTTTTTTACCTATAATCTCTTATTCTTTGTTTGATCCAGTTGGTAGATGAATAGAAGGTGATGTATCTTCTTGTACAACAAAACTAGGGATGACGTGAGAAGGAATTTCCCTACTGAGTTGCCTTCCATTAATGTCATATGGTATGAAAGGTGACATGCTATAGTTTTCAATGAAGCTCATGTTCCTAACGTTAGGGTTTCTTTCAGATTTTTCATCAAGTAACGAGGACTCCTTGAGGTTCGACGCACAATTCCTTGGTTGTGTTTGATAGAACACTTTTGAGAGAACTATCTCACCATCTTTCTCTTCCTCATTGTTACCAAGGTGGTATTGGTGCATCACCCAATTCGTTTTCTCTGGTTTCTTTTGCCTTCCATAATTTGTATAAAGCACAAGTATCTTTTTGTACCCTTCAACTGAACCCGAAATTAAGACCGGCCTTGTCTTGCCTGTTTTGTGCCACCTTGTTTCGCCCCTTTCAGCGTCCATATGTACCTTTCTTCTCTTTCGTGTGCCAGTGGTGTATGCTTTTGAAGGACGATGAAAGAAGTGGCGAATTTGGCCATCATTGCTAACTCCTGTATCATTAATAGATGATCAATGTCAAAGCTTGAGCATCAATAACAACTGAAAAACAAAAATATCGACGAAGTGAAAAGAAATAACGATATGAAAACATTTCTCTACCGTTACTTAATATAAATTATTTAAATTAGTACTTAATTTAGACCACCACTCACTTAACTGTAAAATCTGGAATGTTATATAACAGATTTAAGATTTTGAAATTACTATAAAAATCTTATATTTCAAAATCTCATAGTTTAAAATATGGTACTAATAATTATGTAAATAAAATTTTAAAACATAAAGTTTTTGTTTGTTTTCAGTATTTCAGTTTTTTATTACAATTATCTCCAATAAAATTAAAGTTAATAAGATTGGATGGTGCACTTTCCTCTCTCCTCTCACTTTTATTCTACCTCTTTCACGCGATCTCATTTTCCTCCACTTCTTAACACTTAGGAAATTGCACCTCTCATTTCTCCTCGTTTTTATTTTTTTTTAAATAAAATTAAAATAATTTAATTTAATAAATTAATAAAAAATTAATCTTAAACTCTTTATATAATCAAAGTTAATGTCACATGTAATTGCGGTTAGCGTATTATGATACTTGTGGTTGTAGTATTATGATATTTAACTATATATAATAGGTGAATGTTAGAAACAATTCAAACCTAAGTAAAAGATAGATTTTGAATATAAAAGGAAAGTTGAAGGGCTAATGTTGTAACTTGTTATCAATTTTGAATACAAAATGAAAGACGACATACTAACGTTGTAACTTGGTGTGTATCTTACCATGTTCTGGTTGATAAAGAATTTTTCTATAAAATTATCTAGTTGAAACGTTCAAACTTTGTAGATTGGTAGTCGGTCGATACTTTTAAAGTAAATTCTTGGAGGGTTGGGGATCTATTAGTTTTTTTAATGTGTCAATTGGTCCGTTGGGAAGGACATAAAAAAATTTAAGATGGCAGAATCATATCAATTGATATATGTAATCGGGAGACCAGGTCGATGAGAGTTTTAGAAGCGACTATCCAAAGCATGTGAGGAAATCAAAGCTATGAAGATGTTACTGTGGTGGGAAGATCTCTTCCGTTTAAATACATTGGTATCCCAATTGGTGTTATTATGTCTAGAATATCAAGAAATTTCAAATAAAGCTTAATGTGTGGAAGGCTAGATGCTTATCTTTTGATGGTCGGTTAACCCTTTGCAATCGGTCCTTGGAAGTCTCGATTTCTACTACTTTTCTATTTACAAAGGCCCGCTCATTGTCATTAGTAAATTGGAAAGTGTTCCAAATAACTTTTTATGGGGCGACAAATAGGAGAACAAAAGAATAACTTGGATTGCATAAAGGAATGTTTTGAACAAAAAAGCTAAAGTGGGATGAAAATTGGCATGCATGCATGGCAGCTAAAAAAGCTCTCAACATCTCTTTACTTTGCAAATGGTGGTGGTGTATGAGAAGTGACAATATGGGGCTTTGGACTGAGCTGGACAAAGTGTTTCATACAGCTAAAGGTAAGTATCTAGAGCACGATGACACACCCACTCATTGATGTAATGTTGTTCCTATCAAAGTCAACTTACTCTTCTGGAGCACTTGGATTAGGGACCTTCTAACTTGTTGCAATATGGATCACATAGTCATTCGTTTACCCACCCGTAACCTGTCCCTTTTGCAACTCCTTCTAAGAACGTGAGACACAGCTCTTGTTCTGTTGCTTTACTATCTAGGACTTATGGGTCACATTTCACTTGTGGTGCCCTATATTTCCATCCAATGCAACACTATATATTGAGAATCTTCTTGCTCTCATTATTAACTTGACATCGGGCCTAAAATGAGAATGATTGGTTGTGTAATTCTGCTAGCTTACCTGAGAGGGTCTTATGGGGTTACAAAAACAACAAAGTTGTCAATGGTATGGTTAAATAGAAATAGTTTCCTGCTCAACTAGTTCCAAGCTGCTAGCTGTTACTGTGCACAAGACTACAAGTCTTAACCTTTGTATTACTTTTGTAACTTGCTAGCGCCTCGCTAGATGTCATAATAAAATTTTTCTGTTAAAATTGATTTAAAGAAGATGATGCATACTTTTTTTTTGTTGTGGGGGGTGATATGGGTGATATATATATATATATATATATATATATATATATATATATATATATATATATAATATATATATATATATATCTATATATATATATATATATATTATATATATATATATATGCAATAGTGAAATGGGAAAAAATATATATTGCACAAAAAGAAATTGATCAGTTGGGGATTTGTAGATTATTTGCTACAAAGCGTGCTCTTCTAAAAAAAATATCATTGAAGAGATTTTAATGAGCCATATTATCTTTAGGTGAAAGTAATACAAGCTAAAAAGGGGTTAAACATCATCCTCTAGGCGGCTTACATGGAACCTGTCCAAGGTCTATTACATAATGGTAAATCGGAGAGTACTAGCAATATTTTGAATGTGTTAAGTTTTGAACCTGAAACACTTTTATGGAATTTCTTAATCTCATATTAGGTTCACGTCACAAGGAAAGTAATTAATATGAGTTCTTCATGCTCCTTAATTTAGGATTATTTAGAAATTTCAGGCATCCATGATGATTTTTGAGTCATAAGGTGAGAATTGTTAAAACCATTACTGGTTTTGGGGAAGATAATTTTGATATGGAGAATTTAATGGTTAAAAAGTGGGGAATGGTGCGTATAGGGAGTTCGAAGGATATTTGGTATAGTGGGATTATGTTTTCAGAGACATTTTGCCAAATTATTTTCTTTGGAAAATCAAAAGAAGTGCAACATGACTTCTTACTTTGGTAAGAATGGCCGATCGGATGATATTTTAGGGGCCATCCTAGATCGTGTTGGGATGAGACAAAACTTATGGGTTTATTGACTACTCTTGATGATGTAAGATTAGAGGACATAAAGATACATAGAGCTAAGTGTTATATGATATTGCTTTGTTTTAAGTCTTATCTTATACATTCATTACCAAGTAACCATAACGAAAATGGTTTTCTTTTTGGTATTTTTTCTTTGGAAACAAAAGATTGACGCTTTCTTGTCATTATTTTAAAATGCATGTACAATTTATAGTAAAAAATGTTGAATTGAAAATAATAAACACTTAGATTAAATATCATCTTATACTAAAAATTTGATAATATTTAAGCATAAAATTTAATTTAATTCAATATTAGTATATAAGTTATTAGTTTTAATAAAATATGATAAAATTAATTTATGTCTAATATTCTGAACATGAATTTTTTATCGTTTATTATATGAAATCTTATTTTTATTTTAATTCAATATGTTTTAGTTAGGTATTGTTATATATTTTTAAACATTTTATACATCTACAATAGTTAATACATTTTTCTCAACTTCTAAATTTTATTAAAAAAAAGTTTATGAAACAACGTAGTGGTTTATATAAGCTAAAAATTGTTTCTCGTTATGATCTCCAGTCTTCTTTTTTAATTGAAAAAAAATATATTGACAAAGATGACCATTAATTATAATTCTTTCTAATGATAGATATCCACCTTTCTAACGGTCAATATTTTTTTAATATCATTTAAAAAAAATGTGCATGTATTCACAAACAGATAATATTCCATCCATAATCTGTTTGGTATTATATTCCAATAAGATAAATATATGTTAATACAATTATACGGTCATATGATCCCAATTAAATGATAAGATGTTTAAGGGTAGTGAAAGTGTCATTTGGCTTAGTTGTAGATCTAAATTTTAGAAAGGTCTAAGAAGTAGTGTGTAAAACCTCTGGGGTAAGACTTTATTTATATTTTTAGTCCACTGTCGTTAGTGGGTCTCTGATTGTTATTACTTGCTGTTAAAAAAAATATATTGAAGATTACCGGGTAATTTCTCAGGATGAGTATAACAAATTCCAGTTTCGCCTTCAATTGTTGGAATGAATTCATCAATAAGGGGGTGAAGCTCATTTGTATCACACCCAACCTTAGCCTTCAAATGCTCAATAATTTCTTGATCTGTCGGGTCAAACTTCACTCCGGCTGGTAATCCAGGCAAATCTGGAATCAGCCCCTGATCATTGCCAAACCACCATCATTTATCAGTTCAGAATCTATCTAAAAGACAAATAAAATTTACACCAAGAGAATAATAAAAAAAGAACTTCACATGATATACCTTAGCCTGAAATTGGATAGTATGTCCACAAGAAGGGCAAGAACTTGTGATGATATTGGGATTTCTTGATTGAATGGTGCTTCTTTCTGTTGAAGAAGTTGAGAGATTTTGGAGGGTACTGCTTTCATCATTACACCATGTCATGTTTATTGTTTTCGTCTGAAATCATGCTCATTCCAAATTGGGTAACTAGTGTATCCTCAAAGTAAAGAAAATCGAAAAAGAACGATTAATATATATTCCCAGTAAAGATAGATAACTAAATGGTTGGAGTACATAATAATTTAAAGAGCCACAAGAAAGCAAATTCTTTCACTTTTAAATACAAGACTTGTGAATCAACTCTAGCTTCTTGTGGGTATGTTCTTCTTCCACTTTTTATACTTTCAATTAATCCATTAAAGGGTCGGCGAGACTCGAACCTGGTGTCGTTTCTTGATATCGGTAAAGAATAGAATCCCTCTTTATTACTTTTTTCTTCTATGAGCCTCAATTTTGCCTCAAGAAACACCTTCAAGAATTTTTGGATATATAGAGAGATAATAAAATGGAGACTTTATGGGTTTCTTTTGTTGATTATTTATTTGGCGAGGAGGAATTAATGAAATGGATATTTTGTAGACAAAAAGAATTAGGGTTGCTTGGACGCCAAGTTGAGTTTATGTTTAGGTGGATACGCACACACGTAACAATCTTAATGCAGTGGAGGGTGTCTTTCCATTTTTTTTTTCCTTTAGTGTTTGAAGTACTTAGAATGGGTCTTTGGAACTACTTAAAAGGGGTACAATTACTAAATGCCCCTCAACACTATATTGCTTAACCTGAAGGTAACTTTCGAATACCGGTTATGAATGAATGAAGAATCGTTGTCCAAATTTGGTCACACCATTCGTTAGCATCAGTTACGACCATACAAGTTAAATAAACAACCAAAAGAAAACTACAGATCATGAAAATACCAAAAGTGAAATTTTGTAATTTACTCAAGAAATTTTTAAAGAATCTAAAACTCTAAAGTGAAAATTCGGAAGATGGATAGAGTGGAGATGAAGCAATATAGTAGATAGAGGGAGAGGGCTGCAGTGTCAACCTAGAGTATGGTCAAAGCTATCCATCCATGGTTTCTTTAACTTAACTATGTGTTAGTTTTCTATATATGCATGTAGTTGTAGAATATTCATGAATAACAAAATTACACCTACTTTTTAACTTCCCTATATGTTTTCATATCTTCAAGTATAATTCTCATCTCAAGCAAAGTATTAGATGGGAACATGTGAAAAGAGCTAAAACGCCTAACAAGTTGCCGCAAATATGACATCACACTTTGAATTAATAACGCTTTATATTTAAATACTATGCATTTACATCAGAAATTACATTTGAAAATGATGCTCTTGGATGAAACTCTTTTATGTGGAAATGGAATGTTGTTTAAGCCGTCAACGATTAAAAGCTATTGAATACTCGTAATGAAATAGAGGTTAGAAATATATTTCCATCTTTCCATCAAAGTAAATTATATTACGTACTAATTAATTTATCGGTTTTTTCAGTAGGACGTGATATAATATTGATACCACTTTTAACAAACTTATCAATAAATTAATTATAAGTTATAGGATTATTATCAATGAGAGAAGTGTTTATATTATTAGATTTCGATACAAAATTTATTATATTAAGAAAGGACTAGTATTTGGTTTAAGAAATGTTTTTATGACTAAAAGTTATCGTATTTTTGTTTAAATGGTTTTCAAATGTTTCTATTTGATTTCTTTGTTTAGAAAAATTAAATATCGTCCTACATTTTGTTTTCTATTTATCCTCCTAGTCATATAAAATTATGACATGGGGAATCTATTAGTTTTCTTTTTTAATTTCCGCTTTTAATTTTGATACATGTCTTCGTCTAATGAGTAGAGAGATTGATAGAAACAAATGATAAAAAAATATTTGATTTCTGGTTTTATTTAACATTAATATTATTTGATTATTTTCCTAGTTTTAAAACAGGACCAGCTACAATTTTTCAGAAATATAATATCTGAAACTCAATCTTTTTATGATACAATTAATTGATTATAGAATTAATGGTCGAAATGAAAGTCAAGTCTTTTGGTCCACTTTTGGAAGATTTTCAATATGGAAAGATAATTATCTATTTATTAATAATTACTGCTTTATAATACTAAACTTTTAGTAATAAAATTATATCATTTTTATTAGTGAAGAATATTTAAACCATATAAATAGTTAAAACGCACAAATGCTCGACTGAATACCCACGTACTTGCCTATGGGCCAAATTAGATTTTAGTAATTTACATGTTTACTCATATCACAATTTAAAATAATTAATAGTAAGAAAACAAAAATGCAAGGGACTAAAACGGATATCTTTGTCAACCACAGGACAACTTATGTAATTACATCAATAATTAAATAGACGTCAATGTCAGCTTTTCAAGCAAGCTACGCAACATAAAGCTTAAGGGAGAAGGTTTTCGAGTTTTTTTACTTAGTATAGGATAGTTTAAACCAGCTGGTTTAACACAATTTTGATAAAAAATACGAGTTGTAGCCTCTCTTATAATTAATCTAATATTTCCAAATTAATTGAAATCGACAAATATCAAAACAAATACTGGATGACGACTTAGTTTGGCTTGGTTATATTTGGTTTTACGTTTTCAAGGTAAGCTAGAAATAAAACATTAAAATATTTTGTTTTTAACCTTCACAACAGCATCAATGAACCCTGGAAATCTCATTGGGATGAGATGGAGAGGTAGATGTTGACAGTGAGCCTCCAATTTAGATAGAGCAACCACACCACTTTAAATAAAGGTTAATGTTACTATAGTCTAACCAACTTTTAGGTTTTGTTTTAAATGATTCCTAATTAAACTTAATTTTTTGCATTTTAGGGGCACAAAATGAGTGATGACCGATTTAAATAGCCCCTTTCATCTTTGAAAAACGGTTTTTATGCTACCTCTCCATTTGAAGCACATATGTCACATACTCATCCATCTTCTTCTTCTTCCACAAAACTTTTTTGTTGATCCCCATTCACAACAAACATATATGAGGATACGACCATACTTGGGTTTCATGCAATGTTACCACCCAGATGCTGACCATGTCGTGGCGCTATAGTTGCTTTGACATCCATAAACAACGATCTTGAAGGAGGCATTGGACCCAAAATGTTTTCTTTAAGTGAACTCACTTTGGCCACACTCTTCTTTCTTCTCGTTTCCTTTCATCCCAAAGATTCTTCATCTCTTACGTCCAATATTCCTTGCCATTAGCTCGTCACCAAGATCCAAAAAGGACAAATCGATCTTTTTATTTCTCATGTGTGGATATCACGGGATGATTTTAGTTAGGCTTATGTTTCTAGTTTATGAATGTGTTCCTTTATAGTTGATCTTTTCCCAAAATTTCATAGATTGAATTTGAATTATGTAACCTGCTTGTATGAAGCTATCCCTTTGACGATTATATGTCATTTTAAATATGCAAAGATCCAAAGAATATCCTTTCTGTACAAAGTAGTCGATCAACATTTCTTACTTAAAACTTCAACTATCAAGAGAAAGAAAGATCAACTTTTTAGTTGTTAATCAATACTCGTCTCTGTGTAGATATAATCTATGTTCATTTGCATTGGTTTTACATGTAGACTCGTATAGAGAACATAAGCATAGGGATAAATCATATGAGAACCTTTTTAGAATGGCGTGTTGATAAATCATATGTACAGAGATAATCTATGTTGGTTTATGCACATATGTTTTTTGCTTTGTGATGCTTATTTTATGTTAATATTATGCATGTTTGTAAAATAAGATTTTAAATGGTAGATAATATTTTAAACATAAAATGATCATATGTAGTTTGATTTTCATAAAAATTTTCTTTTAACAGAATATGGTAAAAAGGTTTTAAAATAAAATGAGTTATATTGTTTAAAACTAGCTAACGATAAATTTTGACGAGAAATTTTTTAAAAGTTGAAAATGGTGATTTTAGAGACTTAGCAAATTCCAAAGCTTATTGTAACATCCGGATTCCCAGGTATCTTATTTTAAGTATTTATATTGAATTTTAGAGAGGGACTCGACGAGTAGGCGCTCAGACTCGCCGAGTGGGATCGCGCATTTCTGGTCTGATTTAATGAAGGACTCGACGAGTCGATGCGTGGACTCGGCGAGTCCGCGCTGTTAAGTGAAACCCTAATTCTCGGGGCCTGTGCTCTATTTAAAGGCCTTTATAGCCTCCATTGCGGCCACTTCACCCCTGAGAAACCCTAGAGAGAGAAAGAGAACGTTTGTGGTGCAAGAGGAAGACTAATTCACCATTTCTTGTGTGTTTTAGCAAAAGAGAAGTAGTTTCCAACAAGATGAGGTCAAGGGAGCTGTGGATCCAGGGTTTTCAAGTTCAGATCTACACTATTGAGGTATCAAATCGAACTTCCCTTCTGTTTTGGGTTAAGATCTATGATTTAGGGTTTTCTATAAACCTTTTTAGGCTTGAAAGGTTGAGGTTATGGTCCCTTGCTGGGTTAGACCTCAGATCTGGACCCATAGAGGTCCAGAGAATCTTTCCCATTCTGCTTTATGCTTGTTCATGGAGGATTGGAGACTAGGTTGCCATTTTTAGAGTTATTTCTCCATTTATGACTTGATGTGGGTTGCATGCACGTAAAGGTTGCACTTTACGTGACCTTTGAGCACTTGAAGGCCAGATCTATAGTTTAGAGAAGCAGATCTGACCTCAGAAGGTCATTTGAGAGTTGTTATGGGAGCAACTCGCCGAGTCCATAAGTGGACTCGACGAGTCCATAAGTGGACTCGACGAGTCCATAAGTGGACTCGACGAGTCGAGTCGGGGTTGCCCCGCGATTCGTGACAGGTGTAACCCGTCGAGTGGAAGGATGACTCGACGAGCCAAGAGAGGCTGAAAGGATTCAGAGGACCCGCATGGACTCGCTGAGTCGCCCTTGTGCACTCGACGAGTCGGGTCAAACTTTAACCGTTGACTTTCGTTGACCTTAGGGTTCTGGTCAAGACTGATTCAAGAGAGTTCAGGGAAGGGTAGAATGGCCTTCTACCCAATCTGTAGAGATGAGATCACGAGAGAATATTTATCGGGGATGTTATTTGAATAATAGGAGGAGGCTAAGTCGGGACGTTGAGCACGAAAGTTTATCCGACTTCATTGAGGTGAGTCTTTGGAAGGGTACCTATGTGTGACCGGAAGGTCTTATATGCTATGAGATGTATGAGCTGTATGTTGTTATGTGATATGTATGTGTTATGTATGTTATGTACGATAAGGACCGGAAGGTCAAGATGATATGGACCGGAAGGTCAAGTGGTTACAGACCGGAAGGACGATACGGGTAGGACCGGAAGGTCTACCGGGATTCGGGACGGAAGTCCCCTGAGACACATGGATCGGAAGATCCTACAGAGTTATGGCCTGGAAAGGCGTATGTGTTGTATGTGGTATCTTGGGGAACTCACTAAGCATTTATGCTTACAGTTGTTATATTATGTGTTTT